ACGGTGCTTATCATTTTGCAGAAAAAAAGAGACTGCTAAAAATAAAAACATAAGAGGTTTTTGGACAAAGTTTGTGTTCTCCATTCTTTAAGCACCGGCACCGTTTCAACCTGACCACCTCCACACTTCATGCTTTCTCCTGTTCTCTCTCCTATCTGTGGGAATGAGGCTGTGAATGCAGACAAACCGGTCTCTTGGGGGTGGTCTTACTAAATCCTTGCTTGGTGCATCTGTTTTCTGTGAGTAATCAATGCAATAGTTAAACTAGTCTCTAGCACCATTCCTTGACACATTGTTGTCAAACACCTGAGAACCTGGCTACCTCATACACCACAGCCACTCACTTACCTGCTCCAGAGACTTTTATATTGAAAACCTAAATCCAGTGGAGGTGATCTTCTTACCTAAAGAATACCTGTGCTCCTAACCTCCATCTGCTTTTTTATCCATATCATAGAGACTGACCTAAATTAGCATCTGAGTTGAACCTTGTTTCACCATTTTACATCTTTTGTTGTCATCTTTCAGCATATTGTTCTTTAAACCTTACAGTTTTCAGATGAACCTTGACGGAGGGTTTTTTCTTTTATGCTACGTGTCTTAGTAGCTGCATAGTGTACTGGTTTATACGTTCGATCCCAGGAGGAAACACAAACAAAATTAGTTTTGTTTGTAGGAACCTGGTATCTGGAAATCCCACAGGAAGATTTCCAGGCAACACTCAGCACAGATTTTCCTCCATATATACTATACCAGCCCCTTGGTTATTGCTTTGCATGAATGCCCTGCTTGCTAGCGTCTTGCGCCCCGGTGATATCTGTTGAATTGTCTCAGGGGCATCTTTACAGAGTCTGCACCTCTAAAACCTACACTGAACAAAAATATAAATGCAACACCTTTGTTTTTGCTCCCATTCTTCATGAGGTGAACTCAAAGATCTGAAACATTTTCTGCATACACAAGACCCATCACTCTCCAATACTGTATACAAAAATGTCTAAATCTGTGTTAGTGAGCACTTCTCCATCCCACCTCACAGGTGTGGCATATCGAGGTCCTGATTAGACAACATGAATATTGCACAGGTGTGCCTTAGACTGCCCACAATAACAGGCCACTCTGAAATGTGCAGTTTGATCACACAGCACAATGAGGGAGCCTGCAATTGGATGCTGACTGCATGAATGTCTACCAGAGCTGTTGTCCGTGAAATAAATGTTCATTTCTCTACCATAAGCACCAAAGGTGTTTCAGATAATTTGGCAGTACATCCAACTGGCCTCAAAACCGCAGACCATGTGTAACCACACCAGCCCAGGTCCTCCACAGGTCCTCGTAACACATGAACATTCATTATAGTGCCACAAACCTGCACCCACTAATAAAAGTACTGTTTTTGTTAGCTCTGCCTATAATCATCATCAGCATATAACTGATAAATTATGGGTTAAAAATACAATGTGAACACAGAAATTGCTTTTTCAGATAAAGACAGAGATCACTGGGGAATCTATATAAATCAATAATGAATTACATTTTTATTCTTTTCTGCTTTCACACTAAAGCTTTAAACCAGGGGTCCCCAATCCCAGTCCACGAGTCCCTGAGGATTTTAGATGTGTCCTTGATCCATCACAGCTGATTTAAATGGACAAATGACCTCCTCAACATGTCTTGAAGTTCTCCATAGGCCTGGTAATGAACTAATCATGTGATTCAGGTGTGTTGACCCAGGGTGATCTAAAACCTGCAGGGACACCGGCCCTCGTGGACTGGGATTGGGGACCCCTGCTTTAAACCCTGCCTGTATAGACAGAACTTGCAGTTCTCAGGGACCAGAGAGATTAAGCCAATATCGGAAGCAATGCTGAAAGGAAAGAGGTCAAACACAGAGTAACATCCTCTTTTTGTCATTCTCTAGGTTTGCGAAACAAGTGTAATAGACCCTGTGCTAACTCAAATACACAGTGGGCCAAAATTCAAAACTAGAACAAAGTCGCGGGCTAACTTAATATTTATTGAAATATATTTATTCCTCCAGATATAAGAATGAATCTTTTCTTATGGACTCAAACAAGTTTTGCTGAAAAACTGAATATGGAACAAGCAAAGCTTAATACTAAACAATATATATATTAGCTGTATAATACCAGTAGGCCAGCTCTAATAGTAATTTGGTATGGCTTCGCGGGCCAAATGTAATTAGGCTGCGGGCCAAATGTGGCCCGCGGGCCAGAGTTTGACACCTATGGTCTATGTGATGGCATGCCACATCTGGCCCGATTGTAGTTTGGTTTGTGGCCCAGGCTCATAGAAAACAGGTCTGGCCCAGATCCGGCATCAAGCCGGCACTTCTGACTGACTGGTGTCATGGCAGGGTGTGTGTCAACCAGATGTGGGCCAGGTCTGGCAATGATGGCACTATTTATGTTCCTCTTTTCCTATTTTGGTTAGAAGACCCAAATGCCATGTTGCAATACTATACTGCTATGGTAGCCAACGTTTCAAATGCAGGTTTGACAGGTTTGTGAGTGTACACTTTATCCAAAACCTAGTGAGGGTTTACTCAGGTTTACCACTGGGTGACTGTAGCTCAGGAGGTAGAGTAGGTCACCTACTGATCAGTAGGTTAGTGCTTCGACCCCTGGCTCCTCCAGCCTGCATGTTAAGAGTGTGAATGTGTATGAATATAGTTAGGAAGCACTCAGTTCAGAGAAAGTGTGTAAATGTGTCCTGTTGTACAGAGCACTCTGAGTAATCCGGGAGAGTAGGAAAGTGTTATGTAAGACTCAGTCCATTCACTGTCTGAACAGAGTTTCATCATGTTACTTTTGCACTATTATGTTCCGGCACATGCTGTTATTATATGGGTTGATTAAGGTACATATTAGGCTGACATCTGGGGCCAGCAGATGTCAACTGCCTGGGCCAGCAGAGTGTCTGCAACTGGCCCGTGGCTGCACACAACTTACACATGGCCTACATACCGCAAAGAATGACAGCCCTTTGGTGGCCCAGACCAGGTTTGCCAGAGGTAATCCACACGTGGGCCATGTGTGGGCCACCTCTGGCAAACCGTCATTCTTTGCGGTATGTGGGCTGTGTAAGTACATTGTGTGGGCCAGATCCGGACCATACCAATTTTGCTATGTGGGAATTGAGACTGGATAGATCTTTGTGTCTTTCTCTGGGAAGCGTTGTATTCAGCCTAAAGTTGTTCCATCATTATTCCACTGGA